TTCATCTTTTTCCTCAGCGTTCAAGCTGATTACCACAACTGTAAAATTTGTAGGAAAGGGATATTAACCCAGATTCTCTCCGTCCCCCAAATTATTCGCTTTCTTTTCTCGAAAAACTCACTGAAGAAATATGTCAGGAAGAACTGCTCATAGTCCTCAGTTCTAATATGAGAACACATGACATGTTTACCAGGATTCTTAATGGAAATTTTCATAATAGTTCAAATGACTTGGCTTCTTCTTGTTGGGCTATTCTTTTCAGTGATGTCTTATTCATTGCGCTGTGAGAAATCAGCTCAAAATTTTCAAATTCTTAACTGTCAATTATTAAAATGAGAAAAAATATCTAGTTTGAAGTATTCTCATTGGTTGCAAGGAGTGTTATTTAGGGCTTCTAGCACGCAACTCAAGTTTCCAGAAGTCCTCAAGTTCCGGAATTAAACTTGTCGAACACTAAGTACTTTGTTTTTAACGTTTTGTCTTCATGCAAAAAGGTTTTTCTTATGCGTCAGATTTCATGTCTTTTCCCTGTATATTCTTGAGAGCGAAAATTTAGGGATTCGTCACTTAAAAATCCCTAAAAAACACTGGAAATATACTGAGAAGTAAACCGCCACCAACCTAGCTAAGAGAAGCACGTGTTTAATTCAAAATCGGTATGAGTTGACTAGAACGTCCTTCTGGTACGTGATGTAAGAATATATGTATTTTAAAGGACTTATTCACCTGACCCAAAAGCTTAACTCTATAACAGCTAGGGGGTCTGGATATCTCCACGTTTTGCAAGGTGTTCGACTGCACGGTAGGTTAACCCTTTTAGGGTTTTATCATGTACGTCACCATTTTTTAACTTCCAACAGCGCAAGTGTTATGTTTCCCGGCCAAAGGACAGAAAACTTTCAAGCTTCTGTCAGCTGATCACTAAACACTTCATATTGGGACTTTTTACGGGAAAACCACAAAACCACAAAAAGTTAAGATGTGGATGTTCACTGCAGGAAATCCGGAATTTCCCGCCCCTGAGTCTACGCAAACATCCTGACGTCATTTCATATGACTGAGGTATACTATAATTGCAGGTCCCAAATTATCCCAAACTGTCAAGATATTAGGAATGAGATTTCCTCCTTTTACGACATTGATGAGGGAGGAGCTCCTCTAAACAAAGTAACATGCTAAGACACTTTTTATCCCAAGTTTAAGAAATTGCTAATGTGATACATCATGAATCATGGAACTGTATAAAAACTGTAAAGCTAAGATTCTCTCCACTTAGAATTTAGTTAAAGAATTCGAAAAGTTATCGGCTCTAGGACTGGTTATTAGGTAGCAACGCGTTTTTCCTGACAATCTGCCTATGTCATTAGGGTTTTTTGAGGTTCCTTCATGGTTTTAAATTTCTTTTCTCAAGGTGAATGGAAAGAATTACGTAAATGTTCCCTTCTCAACAGCCAACAGAGGGCCAACGCTTCATGAAATTAAAGCAGGGATGTATAAAAGCGTAACTGATCTTCAGACGACACCATTCCATTAAGGTAACTCCTCGGTGATGGCTTTAAGAGGTATTATCTAGCCTGACACTAAGAAAATCTTTCCTTTGGCTTTTCACAATTCTTATCGTCTGTCGTCATCTGGCACAGTTATTATTAAGTCTGTACACCCGCCGGAGATCTTGACAGATCTTTGTAATGTTTCAGTTTCAGAAACTGACAAACTTTTACAACTGAGCAAACTTGCAGTCTCACTTGATCCGTCCTTCTATTAAGATGCCCTTTATTTGAAGTACTTTAACATAATAATGGGTATTGATCACGTTCGTCATTTTGAAAACGTGCAATTTCCCTAATAAAAATGTGTGGAAAGAAGTAAAACCCCCACGTTCATGCAGCGCCAGATTTCCTTGATTAAGACTGCCAATTCAATGGCCTTAAGAGGCATTACAAGGCTTAGGCAATGAGGCCTTCAGGAGACGTTTCAATCTTATACATCTGTTATACTGTCTGCACCTTTCTTGGATCGGCAAGGTTTAGATGAGCACCCGCTTGGGCTTGAATGACCTTGAATGATGTTAGCGGTCAGACGCCACTGAACCTCGTTTTTTTTTTTTTTTTAACTAAGCCCCCAACTGCAAGCAACTAAAAAGGGATTCAAAACAATGCTTATGTACGAAGCCAGGGAAACGTCCACTTCATCGATTAGGGAGTGCACTGAGTTAGCCACTTCTGCAGTTCAAGGACAAATTCCAAAATCCCGATCGTACGTTAGCTGACCATGATTGAAATCTTCTTAACTTAAGTTGCCAACTTCAGTGAATAGTAAAAATCTCAATGACGAAACAAATCTGCTTTTCAAAGCTGCTTAAGCTTGCTCTGCAAATTCATGGAATCCGTAAACAACTGCACATAAATATTTTGCAGTTGACACTTCGCTCAAGAGCACATAATTATTGTTAGATTAAGGTGTGTTAAAACCGTCTAGTTGGTTACATCAAGAACAACGCTCATTCAGATTGCCTAGCCCTTTGACTTGAAAAATTCTGTATATTAAAGTCTGAAAAAGGCTGAGTTTTAGAAAAAAGTTCATACTTGTATTTGTCCAATTTTATGTGTATACTTTGAACAAAACAAGCAAATCAAGTCTGGTTGGCCAAAATATTTCTTCTTTATAGCCTTCAAAGTAAAGATTCAGTTCAAACGCGGATTGGAGTATTCGATTGAGCTGCAACAACTCCGATCCTGCTGGTGTTTTGTCAGTAGTGAAAGTGTGCAGCATCATGAAAAAATTATCGAATGATATCCCACAGCGATGTAAACTGAGAATAAGACGTGTTCTATATATAATCATTCAATCTCTGATAACCCACGTGTATTATATAATCAGTAAGTGATTTCTTGATGAGGCAGATTTTCAGTAACCTGGATTAAATATTTTGACCACAAACTCGAACAAATGGAAGGCTAAATTAAGCTTGACTATTAGAAAAAAACTGCTCATGAAAGATATCCTACAAACGATTGCAGTACATGTAATAAAAGTTGTAAATATTCGACGTCAGAACTCATGCTCCGGGTTCCTACGCTGATTAGCAACTATTTCACCAAAAGGCCTTTAGAACAAGTCTGTTTGGTGTTTACTTTGACAATCATTTTTGGCAGCTGTACAAATGCAACCAAACAATACTAGGTCCATTGGCTATGGGGCGATCGTTCGGGTTATTCTACGACAAGTTTTCTTAGTTCGAGGTCTAAAAATAAATTAAAGTGTCTTTAAAAAGAATATCGATGCCAAACGCCAGCCCAAAAAAAAAAGAAAACGAAAAAGAAGGAAGAAAACAAGAGGGAATGTTTTACAACTGAGCCAACTGTCGGAAGAAGATAACAATACTTTTTGATCATATATTCGTAATAAAATTTCGCTTCGGACATGTACTATTTAAGCATCAATTTTTATGCCAAGAATTTGCTCAGCTGGAATTCGTGACTCCTAACTCTACTAACGGTTTAAGGGTTCGTGATGCCCTTTCTTGCGATCTAGAAATCCCAACCTTTAATATATAGACCTCCAAAATTAGAGTCAACTTTTTCTATTACAACTGTTAGTGTCACAGTGAAATTAAGGCAAGTTCCTAATTGTTCAATTCATCGTCACGAAGTCAGTTGAAGATAAGAGAAGGGTCGAAGGTCTCAGTTAAGGTCTATAATTAGAAGCAGCTTTGGCTTTCTCAGATAACATTCTGCAGATAAAATTTTAAAAAATCGTTTCCTTTCTGTTTAGCTAAACATGTTCAAGATCTGCTATCTCGCTGTGATACTTCTCTAAATCGTCAACGAGCAACTGGGAAGAAGGTGCATTAATTAAAGCGAGTCGATTAGCGAAAGCATAATGTCAATATTTAGCAACTTGCAAGGGAAGACGGACATATTAGCCAGCCCTGTTAATGAATAATTAGCGGTGATCGCTGTTCCTTTGTTCAGGGTGATGTTCGAACAAGTCTAGTTTCCGGTGTGGAAAGAGATTAGCACTAGGAGTCAAGAGTGCCATAAAATGTCTCAAAACAAACTTTCAGATCAGAGAGAAGAAACTTTTACGGGCGCAAAGACTTATCTCGGAGAATAAAGGCTCTTTCATGGAGTATACACAAGTCATGTGACGTCACAGACTTGCGAAATGAAATGAACAAGACAAAACCCGAATAGGGGTTCAATGACTTTAAATACGAAGATTCTTTCATATTCAATTGACCCCACAACATCATCGCTATCAGCGAGCTAATTCAAAGCTTTCTCGTCGATTCCTGTAAGGCAGAAAGAACCTCGAACTGAAAGCATTTCTAAAGAATAAATTCCGCAAGGTCAAAGTGAAACGCCAAAACTACAGTATGCTTATCCAGGGGAGAAAAAAGAGGTCGATCTTTCTGTGCGTTTATGACAAGTGTTGACACGGCTCCTTGTATACTTTGACTACGATGAGCCAATCATTTTCATCGAAGATAACAATCTGTATGTAAGCTGCTTTATGAGCTGTCAAATTTGGGAAATTTTAAGTGAGACTCTACTCAGTTCAAGGTAAATTTGCGCAAGCCGGCCTAAACAAGGATAATCACACATGGGTATAGGGCTACACGCGCACGAATAATTTATCACACTAATAAAGCTCATTAACAACTCTTTATTTTGAAAGCGACCAAAAAAATTTACATCCACAAAACTACGGAAATGCTCCACCACGTATAAATTTAATAAACGGAATTTGTAACTCTGCACTATTTTCCCGTGCGACTGTTCGTTTCATATGTGTATATACATCCATCATAATAAATCCTCGTGTAAACTGTACATTAGCAAAAAAAATACACTACTACGTTGCTCGTATGAAAATAAATGTACAAAGCAAATACCAAGTGATATACTATGGCAGAATTCATTCTGTCTTCTGAAAATACTGTCAGTAAATCTTGTTAAAGTGTGATCAGGCAAGCGTTTGAACTTGCAGCATGCAGATCACATCCACGAAATGTTTGCAGTTTCTGTACCATCGAGGTACTGATCAAATTCCTCGAGGTTAAAATGATCCTCTTCAGGTATAAGCTCCCTGATATGAGCAAAAGGAAAGAGCTGGCTGGAATCACCGTGTTCAAATTGACTGTTCACGTTGCCAGCCATGAGTGCGTTTAACATTTGTACATTTCCGTGCGAGAGACACTGCATCGGGCTAACAGGCGCCGAATTCGAGGCGGATACGGCGGTGTAAGGCGCTTGTGAAGCCGCTTGCGATTTTGGTTGAAGCAGCGCATTTTGGATGTCTTGCCAGCACGTTGGGAATTTAAAGGCGCTACCAAATTCATTTGAACCAGGACTTGTCTCAGGTGTGGGGAGGCTTATCTCGGACAAATTCGGCAGCGCCGGCGGACCAAGATGGGACAGCTTAATTTCTCCACCGGGAAGACTCATCTGTGAGGAAACCGGCTCAAAGTTCGTGGAATTTAACTCGGATGAACTGAACTGGAACTGTCTACAATCAGCGTTCGAACTTTGGCACGAGACATGAGCTGTTGGTTCCTTGGGAATGCGCACCATCGAGCAGGTCGGGCTGGTACCAGCTGACATTTTTTTACACACTCTCTTCGGGTGTTTTCTTCTCCGCGGGCGATACTTGTAATCGGGGTGATCTTTGATGTGCTGCTGTCGCAGACGTTCAGCCTCCTCGATGAAGGGACGTTTCTGCGACCCGTTCAGTGCTCTCCAAGCTTGACCTAAGATTTTACTTAGCTCCGCGTTATGAAGCTCTGGGTTTGCATCCGCGAGCCGCCTCCTTTCCACTTGTGCCCAAACCATGAACGCGTTCATGGGCCGCTTGATTCTGTCCGAGTCACTCTCCATGTTTAGATCCCTCTTTGGAACCGTTTCTTGCTCCAGCGGTTCAAGCAACTTTGCATAGCCTTGACTCTGTTGCCCCGGCTGAGATGGGTGACGAGCGATCGGATTCTCAAACCCCAAGGGGTTTAATATTCGCATCGAAGGTAGCGGAGCTGGGACTTTCTTATTGCGTACTGTCCGGCGGTCCGAGAGCAACATTCTATCACTTCCACGCATCTCAATGGACTTTGTGCGCCTGTCTCCGTGACCAAACTGAAGCGTGAATGTAATTTCTTCTCGCTTTAAAAAAATTTTGCAGATCAAAGACCCTGCTGATTTGATGCGCGCGATATGCAGCAACACGTGTGATAGATGTGACAGGAGAGTCGAAAATATGCCTTTATATCACGTGGGAAAAATTGAGATATGTTTATGAAATCAACTAATGGACCAATCAAAGAAATATAACTTTGACAGGTGTCAAGTATAGAGATAACAGGCAATCGATCCCGGTGCCATACAGACTATGTCTTGAAAGGATTTGTGGTCGTAATATTTCAAGGGATTTTTACCGAAATATCGGGTTACAGTTGCAAGAGCCTTAAGGTCAAGAACGAGCAAGAAATCAGGAAATATGTCTTTTTGGCTCCAACCCACAAATTCTTTGACAGCGACAGCGCCACAGCGTCGTAAATCCCTCGTAACATTATGTCGACAAGTGGTCAACAGAAGACGGAACTGGAGATATAAAGTTGTTTCCGTCCAAACCACGCCAAGCCCTGCCTAAGTTTTTCTAACCCTAGACAACTCCCTTTCATTCCCAAGAATAAAAATACTGTTAAGAAAATTTCCAAAAATAACGCACATGTAATTTCGAAAAATGACTATGAAATACTGTACTTTACAATCGCACCAAGGTGTGGCAGAAGAAGTCTCTGCTTGCCTGGTTCAACAAATAAACGGATTTCATTGTGACTGACCCAAACTAAGTATTAAGACATTTCTCCACAATCTATTCTTGCCTCTTGGGTAAAATAATCAATGATTTTGCACTGAAAGTTTTCAAAACCACGGTTAACACATAGCTCTTGTCAAAAAAATGCTTCAGTCATATTTCTGTCCATTCACTACACAGTCCAACAACCACAATTTGCTACAGATAGAATTTTTGGGTAGAGACAGGCATTCGGGGGGGGGAGGGGGGGCGAGGGTACTCAACAAATTTTTATACGGGGAGGCTCCGCCCCAAGGTCTAACCCCTTACCCTTTTATACCCCATTTTTTATGAAAAAGGCAACCCTTTCGTTTACATTCTATTAACAGATGGTATCCCTTTCATATACCTTGTTTAGAACTTTGCATCCCTTTTAACTGCTGTAAATGAACTGTCGTTTAAATAGGAATCAATCACAAAAATAGAAAGTTTTCTCGACTTTATACAGCCATAAAATTCATCTGTTAGCCATTTGGGCCCTGACAGACTCAAATGACAGATTTCCCTACCCTTTCACATACTTCAACGAGTAAAATTCGTTCCCTTTCATGTACCTGAAGCCTGAAAAATGTACCTCTTCCGGGCTGAGCCTCCCCGTATAGGCCATTATAAGGAGTACCCCCCCCCCCCGGGCAGGTATCCCTGCAATTAAAAAAGAGGGTACCGTTGTGACTGGTGTAAGATCAACTGAAGACAGCGAGAAACTTAAGATGCCGAAATGTAAGGAAAAGAAGAAACGAACTTAAGGTAAAAATTAATGAACTTAACAGTTTTCGGCCCGTATCGATTGCATTCCTTCACTTCATGTTTCAATTTGGAAATCCGGCACAAACCCAAACAACTCAGTCCGTTCTACCTAGCTGAACTTGACTGTAACTTGGACGTGACCATAATATTGACATTAGGATTATAACTTGTCACTGACTCATTTTCTTTATTTTCACACTAGGAAGTTCATCATGACACTATTACTATAATGAAAATTAAGATTATCATGGTTATATTACCGATTCAGCATGAAAAATGGCATGCAAAAAGGTATTCTAGTTCCGACAGACTGACCGGGAGATATAAACGACCCAACCCTTTTTTCAGTCTTGATTCCCGTGAAGAGGTTACTGATTTCACTGGGATCTGAAAGACGTTTGTTTTTTCAGCAGTGATTAGGGTATGGTAATGTCCGGGGCCATTTCTGATCCCAAAAACTTAAAGTGGACTTGAGTCAAAACTCTATACCCTTGAATGATCCGGCTTGCACGCAGTCCCGGTTGTACTCTCTAGTCAGCAAAATAGCAAAAACCATTTCAAAATATATTTACTATCCTGCAGCTCGATAATCAACTGATACGATTTATTTTAAAGACGAGCTATAAAACACATCATCGGCGTGCAAAAGTCCCGGGTTCAAAAACTGCATTCAAAGGCGCGAACTGAACTAAAAATTCTCCGTTATGCAGTACTGTTTACATTCTTTAGCCTTCTAAATAAGATAAAAATAATTATCTTATGTGAAACCGTTATGTACAGCGCTAAAATCATCCATCAAACGATGAGCCGGCATATATCCCTGATAAGACTGGCAAAAGCTACTTTATGGCGATACACCAAAGAGACCGACGGTATATGAGCCGGCAAAGGTTGAAGAGTGTAAAACACTGCACTCTTAATGAATGAATTTTAATCTTGTAAAAATGAAGTCGAACATGTCGTTACTGTGAGTATTCGAGCGGGTATTTAGTCTTCCAGCTCGAATGATTTCTACCCTGAATATAATCATTCTCCCTACTAAAAGCCGACAATAATGGTTACATTGAACCCAGGTGAATTCTCAGATCTCACTGTAGACTATCTATTTTGTGACGCATCTTTTTCAAATACTGTACATAAAATGGGTGTTGACATAGAACAATCTACTCAAGAAAGGACCACGTCTGTAATGGCGTCAGCTATGTTGCGTAACGACGAATCATTCAGCGTTTTTTTGGACGAAAAGTCAGACCTAGGAAATAAAAGCCGTAGTCATCGGTAGTCAAAAGTTGACAGACCTTTTGGCGCCAATGAGCCCGGTTGACAGCCAAATCTATGGCGTAGTTTTGTACCAATATTTACTGTTATTGCCTTACACACATTGTCGACCAGTTCCGGTTACATGAAAGGTACTCAAAAATCGGCAAATAAAGCTGACAGCTTGGGCGGACCTCTGATCAGTATACGATTAGCTCAGGTGATAAGGTTTTTGTTTTTCTTTCTCAAAAAAATAAATCTGGCAAAATAAGCAACAGAAAAAAGAGAATTGTGTCTGCTTGCTCGTGCGTTACCTTACAAGCGCAACAAAATCTGCGCGGCCACGCGCTAAAAGAGTTGTAGGATGTAAGTTGGTAGAAAAGCAAGCTCCTTTAACCGTGCATCTGCTAAAGGCTGGCGTGTATTAAAGACCTCTGAAAATGTTTAAATAGGTTTCCTTTTGCTTGCATTGCTCCGAAACCGAAATATCAATTACACTAAAAAAGGAAACTTAAAAAAAACCTACAAAAGATTGCATTTCAATGGGAAATAGATTACAATGTGTGAAGTGAAAGAAAAGAAATGTTTCAAAGAGTGCAACGTTTCTCTTTAAGGTTAACCAACACAGGCTCATGCACTTTCGCGATCAGGATTCGCAGGCAGAGGAACGTAAACTCGTGCGTCATTTAAATAACTGAATATAAATGAAATCGAAAAATTTTCAGTTTCCATTAAAGGTTAACCAACGCAGGCTCACTTTCGCATTAAGGATTCGCACGCAGATGAGCGTTAACTCGCGCGTCATCGTACCTTGAATTTACAAAAGTGAATATAAATGAAAAAGAAAAATTTTCAGTTGATATACATGTAAATTTGGTTTAAGTCTCTTGATCAGTAGATGCTCTTGTTTTCAGTTTCTCACACATAAATTACAAAACAGCTGCGTTTTCTCGTCAAAGACTCTGTATACTTTATTTTATCGGCTTACTTACTTATAAATAACAAGATTATTATATCTGTCGCTGATTGCAGCCCCGTCTCAAATCACGGTGAGGTTCAAGGTGCATTACACAGCGGAGAGCAAAAGTAGAATAAAACTGTCTCATTTCCATCCACTTTTTCTGTCTCAAATTTGAAGTCATTAACAGGCAACTAATAAGCTAATAACCTTGCGACTCAATCAACCTACAGCTCTAGTATGTGTTGAAGGCTACGTCTTCCCTTCAGCTGATAAAAAACTCGAGCTAAAAATTTTTTTTTGTTTAGGAATTTTGGTCGTTACCACTTTCCGCAAAGCTTCCGACCTGTCTCGCTTTGGAGACTACCTTCATTTCCGCTCTTAGAAAGGGCTCAGCGTTTACTTAATCACCGTAACCAGTAATCGGCTCCTGCCGTAACCAAGATGTCAAGAACTATTAATGGCTCCCACTAAATTCCCCGGGGGTACTCCGGTAGGAAATGGGAGTAGATGCCCTTCGTTTTGTCCAGAGATGTAAACTGCAAATGTTGCTATAACAAGCACACTGTGTATCGCTTATGTCTGCTTTATGGAATTGAGAGGACCGAAGAAAAACAAAATGGTGAAAAGAATGAAAGAAAGGCCAAAAAAGAAGTATTCCACGACAACTGCTGTATCCGAAAAGGTAATATAGTTATTAAGTCCCAAGAGTGATCAACATCAATTTTCTCCTACGAATATCCATACATCGTCAAGAGGAAAGATTATTAGGTATTTAACAAAATGATCTCCGAGGAAAATACAACTTTGAATGGTCTTTTATCAAATTCTCGCAACTAATTTGTAAGGAAATGTATGGAGATCAGTCTGGAGAATTTGCATACGGATATTAGAGTTTAAAGGGTTAATTCCAATACATGACGAACATCATCCCGCGCTTTTTACACAATTATGAGAGCCCTACTCTCTCTCCCCCCCCCCCCCCCCCCCCCCCCCCCCCCACCCCCCCCCCCCCCCCCCCCCCCCCCCCCCCCCCTCCNNNCCCCCCCCCCCCCCCCCTCCCCTCCCCTCCCCAAGTCCCTCGACGTCCTCCTCGACTTCTCTCTCACTTGGAAAACCTATTCCGTCAAATTATAAGTGAGTATCAGGGTGGCTTTCAGGTCCGATCCCAAGCTTGTTGGCTTCCGGCCTTTTTTCCCACTGAAAAAGAAAAGGACGAAGGTTTCTTTTTCATCTGAATTTTAATAGAGAAGTACAGTCAGAAGCCATCAGAAGACACTATCCCATGTGAATTTCCCCCAGACCCAAGATTTCAGACTTATCTAACTGGCACAAATAGAACAAATTAAACCATCGATCAGAGGTTTCTTTGAGTATGCAATGTCAGTAAAATCGTCTCAGGTGTATTAAAGGGCGGAAACAGTTTTGTCTGAAAAGGATATTCCGGAGTTTTACACTGATCATGGCCCACTTGGAAATTCGATAAAAGTGAGTTTGTCGGAAATAGGGTCAGGGTTTAAACCTTCTAACAGACAGCAAAAGAAGTCATTAACTCAAGACAATTTTTTTTTTCTTGTATGGAAAGGCCATATATCGAAAAGCTTTCATCATAGAGAGATTTTAACCTACAGGCTCTTGGTTAAATACTGGCAAAATTCACAACTATAGCATTGACTCCTGATGCCGGGAGAACTGTGCATTGATGAAAGCAGCATAAATGAATAGTCTCGTTGAAGTTTCTTAAAAAAATTCCTCCAAGAGGAATTTGCTCTTTAGCCTGTTTGTGTAACAAAATACCTTAAATCGTATAAATGCAAAGCACTCTACGGCTTTACTTCGTCTTGCCAAACCTTTCGAATGCTAATGTGATGAACCCCAAGAAATCTCCTTAAGAGATTTTTTTATGTTACAGCTTGCCACTCAATATCTTATAAAAGTGACTTATATTTTGGCTTTTTTTATTGAATTTTTTTTATTGAATTTTCCAGGTGGAGGGGCAGGGAGCAGGGAAGTATACATGGGAAGGCTAGAGTATACGAAGCCTAACAATTCAGTCACTTTGGGATGGAACTGGGAAAAAATGCTTTAAGTGGGACTGTGTGATTTCCTTTGTTCCTTATAACCGGCGTAGTAATGGCTACCAACTGATGAGCTCGGCAGAATACCGTAGTCAAGATGCCACAACCACCCCCCCCCCCCCCCCCCCCCCCCCCCCCCCCCCCCCCCCCCCCCTCCTTCCCTCCACGTTCCTCGCCCTCTCATAACAACTTCCACACCGATTAACACTTCTACATCCACGACCAACAAACCACAATATCTTCCTCCCCTCAAAACAATGTTATTCTTGTTGGATGGAGAAAATGTTCTTCCTGTTACCTTATTGCATCTTAGTTTTTTATTGATATAAGCTGATTTATTGTCAGAGCTAACTCAAGGTTGTTTTAACTATATTTTCTTTTTTCCCCCCCCCCCCCCCCCGCCCCACCTTCGTTCCCCACTTTACAGCGTACATTCCTCTTTCGTGGCAGTAATTCAGGTTATTATTCCACTACATTCTCGTGATAAGTTTCTTGAGCCCGAGCCCCGGGAAGGAAGTTATTGATGGTGCAGACAAGTGTTGTGACTCTTAAAGGTGTCGAGTCTTGTCGTTCGTCGTGATACTCAGAAAGAAAGACAAAAATTAGGAAAATTATAGCAATTTCACAGCTCAAAGTCTGCGTATGTTAGCCATTTAAAACGTCCTTAGAATTAGGTAATTCACGTGTGCTTGTCGCGTGTGGAAGAACAAATCGATCAGCTATTAGCGCGTGTCTTGATCGCCTTAGCCGGTTTCTTTACGACACTCACCGTAACTTTTCGAATTTCTGACACACGAATGATTGTACAACATAGTTACATTGTAAGTTAGTTACCGGCAAAGGTATCCACAAAGAACATGGCTCGAGTGTTGAACGAAGTTATATATTGAGTAATGATATACTTCGCATTTGCTAGCCAAAAGCAAAGCTCCTGATAGCACCGTCATCGGTCTCTAGTATACGTGTATACGAACCGACTAGTTCGCCTCAGTATCCGTTTGATCTTGCAAACAATAATCTTGTAAGAAATAAATACGTAGCGTCTAGATCGAATTCACGGTTTGTTTAACTCTGGTAGAATCCCATCATTTTTGTGACAAAATTTCTAAAGGGGAGTTGCTGGTTCAACGCGTCAAAAACTAATAACTGAAACTTAAGAAATGATGCAGAAAAATATTTTAAATCAGATTATTTAAGGGGTTACGAGGTTAGATTATTTAACGTAATGATGTTTAATTTCTAGCAAAGTTTATCAAGCCTTTATTCTTTTATCTTCATTAAACACTCTCGTTCATCTTTTGCATGTTTTACGATGCTGAAATAAAAAACGATGTTGAGTCGATTGAAAGCGAGTCTATAATTGATAAGTAACTTTGACTTAACAGGTTGACTCAGTTCAAGCCGGTGGATAATAAGGTCTTGCTACCTAGCAACTTGCTACTATTCTTAGAGTTTTAAGGCGCTGATTCTCCTGCAATTTTTTCGTTCGATTTTTGCTGCATTTTTCTTTATGGATTGTGAGGTATCTTCTTTGCGATTTTAATCTTTACGCAGCGGTTATCGCGTAGGTCACATAAGATGTGAACAATCCCCCAGACTGGCCACTGCAGCTGTCGCCAAGAAAGTCATCTTTTAATAACGTAAATGACGAGCAGGTTAGACTGAAAAATGGCAATTTCACCACAAGCAACAAATCGTCATGAAATCTTGCCACTGGCTTCATGACTCGCGATTTGAAAGTGATCGATCAAAAAATAGAAGGAAAAAACCTCATGTAAAAAGACAAGACTTCTATATAATTTCACGCGAAACTAAGACAATTTGAGGTATTGAGACGCCTGTGGAGTAGTGTCATTCGGAAAGTTAGTTACACCTTTGTTTAATTTAGGCTTGTTTAAGCATAGCCCGCAGTCAAATTTGATCACTGAAATTTGTAATGTTAACAATTTTCCCGGATTATAATCTTCACCGGTTTTGGGCGGATCCAAGACCTAAAATATTCTAGAACATTTTCAGCAAAACTATTTTATTGCCAAGATTTAATTTAATAAGCACTTGACGTGATGTCTATAGGTCTGCAAATGGGGCAGCTTAAAAGTGTAGGTCTTAATTTAGTTTAATCTTTTAGGTATGAAGAAAAGTTCGAGAAGCATTGAAAGATATACAAAGCACACCACACATGTTTACAGGTAGGTGGTAACTTGGATGTGTATTAAGTAAGCTACACATTGTAGGTCCGGAGAGTTTTGAGTGCACCAGTGCATTGGTGGGGTGTAGCTATTTCTGCCTAAAGTGCTCTTGAAACAAAGCTGTTTTTATGGTCTGGAGAGGGGCATGGCCAAGGCGTCTAGGAGACGGTTTTCATCTCCACTCCCCCGATACTTATAGCGAAAATGGATATAGTAAGATACTAAATTGGCTGAACTCACTTTGAATCCGTTAAAACCCTCTCAGATTATGAACATCCGGAAACAATTTTGGTCTGAAATGGGTTTAAAGTTGAGAGACCACCTTGGAATATCCTTCTCGGAGAAAAAAGATGAACAGAAAATTGGTAAGTACCGTAATTTTATTGCACATGTGAAGAAAACTACGGAAAGCTGATTAGATATCAACTGAATGGGCGTTTTATACAGGATTTTTTACCCACAGCCTTAAAGGAGCCACTCACGAGCTGAATGCTTTCAGTCGCCACACTTTAAACGTAATTCTCACTTACTCTAACTTGAAGTATTTTCATAGCTAAGTTTTCCACTTCATTTAGACGCTATATAACAATCAAAATAACTCATAATTGAAAATAACTCATAATTGCACGGGTGTAAAGTCACTTACTTATTGATCTATGCGTTATAGCAATTTTCTTTCTTTTTTTTTTTTTCAGCAAGCGTTCACTTACGTCGGGGGTCTTTATTTGATTATCATTTTGTTTGTTTGGTTCTCTATACCCATTTATTGGGTCTGTGGGCTAAAACTCGTTTGCACTTAATTGCTGCTCAAAAGTTTTAATATCTAAAAACTAACCAAGTCAGCTGCCAAGTGTCTTCGGACAGCGCTGTTGTACCTACAAGTTCTCGCCTTCGTTTACGCTTGTAAGGTATGTGAAGCGCTCTTATAATGATGCTATTATAAGTCGATATCTGTGAGCGCACACGCCGCTCGTGGCTTCAAGTAGATTAGTTTTAAAAACCCTACCACGCAATACTTTCTGATGCTATACAAAACATGTCGGCAAGGAAAAGTGATGAGAAAACCACAGATTTAAAAAAGTGTCATTTAACCTAATGCACGGCCTTCACAAAATAAGAGTAAGTCGGTATAAAGATAAATAAGCCATTTTATTATCCAAAAACCGCCGAGATACACAACTTAGCCTAAAAATAATAGCCGATCGTTATCAGATACGGGCGTAAAACTCATCAGAAGACATCCTGACGCTGATTTAAATAAAGATATCAGTTTTAAATAGGGCTAGTTTTTACCCTGAACGGTTGTGGTACCACGTCAGTCGGGGAGTTGACGAAATCGGAAATTGTTCATGGTACGAGGAGAGTTAAATTTCCTTTCAATCCTGTTTACAAACGCAAGTGCTTTCCAAGTCGTTGGTGGGTTCTTTTTCGAAGTGAAATGTGTGAGTTCCACACTTAGTACAAAAAAAAAGTGTTTTAATGTGATTATCGGCGTAAGTAGCAGATGGGTCAGTTATTTATGGCCACAAAGAAAAAACAAATTCGAATCTTTATTCTTCTTGTAATTCACGCACCATCACCAAAGCAAGAACAAACATAATTCAGTAATGAAATAAAGCCCCAGCAAGGTAGACTTCTATCGATTTTAGCTCCTGTTTTAATGCATGGTGCTTTTCTTTGCCGTTACTATCGTTTCTCTATCGGGAATTTGATCCCGTTATTTACGGAATTTTTATATTTAATAATAATAATAATAATCATAATAATGAAAAGAAGAAGAAGAAGAAGAAGAAGAAGAAGAAGAAGAAGAAGAAGAAGAAGAAGGAGGAGGAGGAGGAGGAGGAGGAGGAGGAGGAGGAGGAGGAGGAGAAGAAGAAGAAGAAGAAGAAGAAGAAGAAGAAGAAGAAGAAGAAGAAGAAGAAGAAGAGGTTTAGGCTCGATTACCAGCCGCTTGTGGAAAATGAGCCCACACTCATTCCCTCGGGGGGAGAGGAGGTCAGGGGCAGCTTATACACCAGGATAAAGCCAATAATTTCAATCCTTCCACGTCATAAATCATTGGTTTCTACTTCGTAGACGCATTCCTCACGATGCGTTAGGTACGTGTGGCAATCTACTTGTAGAGGACCGAGCTTTAAAACAATCGTGCCTTGTGGTAGGTATTTAAACAACTTTATCTAGATTTAATCACATTGATAAAATCCCATTCGTAAGCGACGCTTAACGGGTTATTTAAGGTGATTCCCTGGTTTTGCACTGCGCATCTCTTACTGCGCATAACAAGATGGCCTCCGTAAAAAAGAGCATGTGAAGTAACATTACTAAAATGAAGCTGACCGAAGAGAAACGCTATTGCAATTTTTGCTCGCGGTTGTTTCTTGTCGAGGTGAGACTCAGTGTGGTGGGAATGTGCATAACGTAAGCAGTACGCGTGATGCTGAGTTCGACTTCCTCACGGAGAACCTCGTTAGTGGATGTTTAATTTGTGCTTATTCACTTTGATTTTCATTTAAACGCTTTCTTTATCACATTGTGTCCTAAATGTGATATCTCGATGTAAATTCTGTAAAAACGGATTTTTTAGTACTTTCTTCCCCTTTTCGCATACATTCTAATTGAAACTCGCCCCAGTCCTCTCTCAAAAATCAAGGAAAATGCATTTGGTGCGCACTTTCTGCAGCTCTACCGCAAAAACGAGTACGGTGACCCCCATTTTTTATTTCATGATTTTAATAAGGACAGTGCTTCCTTTCGGTGAGAAAAAAATTGGCACAAATCTATGTTCAGTTTTTTGGCAATTTTACTAAATTGTACGGATTGAGCTATCACGTGTCGAATAGCGCGTGTCCAATTTAATTCTACTTTGGAGCGTAAAGTAAAAACAAGGGCATTAAAAGGCATTTTTCTAGTACGTAAGTGGATAAACAATACATTAAAGTCAAATTCTGTGCGATACCATATGCATCATTGAAAAAATCTTTCCTTTTTGTCTAGTTTTGGGCTGCGAGCGGTTTTTGTCAAAGGGTCCAAAATAGCCGTATTTGTCGGCATTGTGACGTCAAAACGAGCACGGTGACCCCCACTTTTTATTACCTTTTTATCATCTTCTTGACTTATTGCACCAGTGTACCAAGTTTCATCTAAAATCTATGTTAGGTTCTTTTACTAGGGAATCACCTTAAGGCGTTACTTCAATGTCTTATTAGTCAAGGCAGCTGGCTCAGTTCTGTTGGATATATTTACGAGGGTCTGGACCACACACCCTCCCCACTAGGTCTACCATTCAATGAAACCATCACATTGTGAACACATTGTTTCACAGCAATAAATATTATGGACACAATTTCCACTCAGTGAGTTTGGATCGAGGAACTTGTAAATGGTAAGTGTTAATTGGTCAGGGTAAATTGTAATTTGTTTACCCAGGTAGCACTTAGGAATTCTGAAGAACTCGTTAAAACATGTCCATGCGTTCCACATCAACAAACTGAACCCAAATATTGCATTCAATGTGAGGATTCAAACCCAGGCCACTTGGTGGAAGGCAAGTGCTCTAACCGCTGCACCACCCTTGCCCTCCTTGCTCCCCTTATCTATGTATCATAAATGACTAAAATACTTTGATGCTGCCTCAGTAGGGAGTAGAAACAAAAGACTTTGATGCTGCCTCAGTAGGGAGTAGAAACAAAAGACTTTTTTGCTGCCTCAGTAGGGAGTAGAAACAAAATACTTTGATGCTGCCTCAGTAGGGAGTGGAAACAAAAGACTTTGATGCTGCCTCAGTAGGGAGTAGAAACAAAAGACTTTTTTGCTGCCTCAGTAGGGAGTAGAAACAAAATACTTTGATGCTGCCTCAGTAGGGAGTAGAAACAAAATACTTTGATGCTGCCTCAGTAGGGAGTAGAAACAAAATACTTTGATGCTGCCTCAATAGGGAGTAGAAACAAAAGACTTTTTTGCTGCCTCAGTAGGGAGTAGAAACAAAAGACTTTGATGCTGCCTCAGTAGGGAGTAGAAACAAAAGACTTTGATGCTGCCTCAGTAGGGAGTAGAAACAAAATACTTTGATGCTGCCTCAGTAGGGAGTAGAAACAAAAGACTTTGATGCTGCCTCAGTAGGGAGTAGAAACAAAAGACTTTGATGCTGCCTCAGTAGGGAGTAGAAACAAAATACTTTGATGCTGCCTCAGTAGGGAGTGGAAACAAAAGACTCTGATACTACCTCAGCAGGGAGGAGAAACAAAATTTTTTACGTTTTACAAATTTTTATACTCTTGTTTAGCACTGAATATCATATGATTTTTTCAATAGACAATCATTTGACTTAATCTATCGCCATCAATCGGTAAAAAAAATCCATTATTAATGTATTATTACTCGTCCGCTCACTAAATGAAATGCCACTCCTGTCGTACCTCCATTGTTTGTTCTTATTCTGGTTAGACATTATTTTGTTGTCCTTTCACTGCAGAGGGATGGGACATAATGATGGCCCTTATGAATCTTATGCCGATAATGAAGGTCCTGCTAGGTCCTTACACATATTGGCTCAGTTGCGCCCCTTTAACAAACATGTCACTGGATGTTTAAGGTAGGGCCCTTTCCTTCCCTCTTGTATCCTTAAATTTCACTTCGAATTTTCACAATAGACCATTTTACAGTTGTGGACTTCACACCCTAGCCTTCGAGTGAATGTGAGGCTGACGGTGACCTTGTTTTGATACAAAACTCCTTTGCTTTGTTATGGAAATTGTCCTTGAAAAATACTAGTTAGTATAAGAATAACTTGATTTACATAATAAAGCAGAAAGGTTTGTATCAAAACAAGGTCACCGTCAGCCTTGCTTCCATCCATAACTGTAAAATGGCCTATTCTGAATTATTAAATATGACTAATATGCATACGAAAATGAGCTTATTTGTAAACAATGAATATGACTTAAAGTTTTTCGTACCGGTTTTCTTGAGATGTCTCTTCGTTTACTCGGTACAAATTTGCACTCAGTTCGCGTAAATAACTGAACACAGGCCGCCATCTTGTTTACGGCCCATTCAATCCGTCCAGCGGCAACCACTGGTAATTTGTGCATGTATGCTCAGTCAAGTGTGACTCGACAGTAGAACCTCGATAACTCGAACTAGGATAACTCGAATTCACCGCTAACTCGAACTAAATTTTCTTTCTCTTATCAAAATTTTCCTTAAATTTACCCTGATAACTCGAATTCCCCACTAACTCGAACTGTTTTTCGTTTTCCTTCAGAGTTCGAGTTACCTCCGGGTTATACTGTACTTGTTTTTGTGGTCGGCTAAAGTACCCCCAGCAATTGAACATCAGGGACTCCCCTAACTCCATCTCCTCCTCATGTGGATGGAACGTGGTTTAACCGAGGTTTTAACGAGCACAGTTTAAAAGCTGTACCTTGGGTGATAATTTCGGCGCGTGGCTTCTACCGAAGATGTGTCGGCTCACGGTCGACCCCGAAGTTGACCTCGAAGCATCCCGCCGCAGGCGTCAAAACAATCTCGTTCCCAGAGGCCGCGATCCTTTTGGTCAGCGACGGGAATCGATTTTTCCAGCGTATGACAAAAGGGACCCCTGGGGACGAGGTTGGCGTCAAAACCCCCCATCTGAGACGGCGGGTCTAATGCGCAGGTCACCTTGCTACACCACTTGTTTAAAATCAAATTCTTTTCCTTTGTCTCAACAGTTGATGCACTGGATATCAATGAGCAATAAAGACCAATGAATATGTCAACGGCCTAGAATTTTGCCTCACAAAATTAAAAACATTTTGATTTTATGGGTGAATTTTCCCCCCCAGCATGAAACCTTACGTAAACTTTTTTACTGTTACACGCCTAGCTTGTGATAAAAAGAAACTGAATTCCGTCGATTATAATTGGACATAGCAAGCTGCCACAAGTACAACAATTCCGGTATATTATCGAATATCCATTTCCTGTTGTTTTTGTTGCTTTTTAGCCTGATACAAAGAGCGAAAAACATCGGACATGATAGACGTAGAAACTACATAGATCCATGATTGAGAGGGGCCGGATATCCTGATAATTGGTTCACGCCTTAGATAACTAGTTTGTGGTCATTGTGATTGCTTGTTTTTTCCACAGATGTCACACGTATTTGGCACAAAAAAACAGGAAAGAAATTTTGATTTGTAAGCACATTCCCAAGACACAAATTTCAAAGTCATGGTTTATTTACAGGCAAGATTTTTTTTTACTGAGCAATTTTCCTTACTCGGTCATCTTCGAGGCCGATTTTGTAGGCGTAACAGCACAGACCGGCTGAGTTCAGTTTATTCTTCAGCGTTGCTCAAGTAGATTAAGGCCTGGTTTTAAGTCATTTATGGTTTTTATGTACATTTCGTTTCTAGCATCTTCGACATTTATACTGTTAATGGAACGATAAAGTACAACTGAATATCACTTGTTTGTAGTTATGACACAAGAACAATAGAAGGAGTTGTGCATTGTAAATGAATTATTAATGCCATGGTTGCAATCAATTGAATCTAGCTTAAAATGCGCGCATTCTCATTTGATCTTAACAATGGTCGTCCATGCTTACCTCACTCTCAAAATTGTAACTAAAGATTAGTTATGTTAATTCAATCTGATTAATTAATCTCAACGCCCAAACAATGAGTAGAGGCCACATGATTGACCATGGTATATATTGGCGTAAGGGGCCAAAGAAGGTGCCACGTTTTAAGAGCATAAATTCTGTCTTGCCCGGGTGTGCTGTTAAAATAATTATTTGGACACCAGTTAGTGACTTTATTCCTGAATGAAATTAAGTGAAGCGGCTGCCGTGTCAGGATTGGGGCAAATTACGTATTATGGTATCGTCAGTATACATACGCAGTTCACCGTCACACAGGGTCTGGCAGGGTATTTTCGGGATTCGGGATTTGACCAAAATACGGTGCGGGAATCGGGAAAACGATAAATATATTGACGGGATCCGGGATTTGACTGTTCCCCGGGAAGCGGGACTCGCCAAAAATTGGGCACGGGATGCGGGATTTATGTTTATTCGGGATTTGACCAAAATACGGTGCGGGAATCGGGAAAACGATAAATATATTGACGGGATCCGGGATTTGACTGTTCCCCGGGAAGCGGGACTCGCCAAAAATTGGGCACGGGATGCGGGATTTATGTTTGAGTGTCTGTCGGGAATGCCGGAAACCATTAAAAACACGCGTAAATTCAAAATATCAATCGAAAGGATCAACCTACATCTTACATTTATTAGCTTTTGTAGAAATTAGACTTTTTAATTTATTTTTCTGAGAAAGAAAAGCGGTATTCGGGAAACTGATGAAAAACGTGGGGGATGCGGGATCCTCGCGAAAAAGGGGCGGGAATGCGGGATCAGGACCCCCCCTTCCAGACCCTGTTCACAGGGCTTTTCTTATCTTCTTCTTCTCTCCTTCTTATGCTCTTGTTTAAACTGTCAGATATCGGTGAGCATAGTTAATGTGAATGGCCTCTGGATTGAAAACAAGGCAATCCAGACCAAAAAATTCAACAGCAGCAGTAACACCAAAAAAAACTTTCCCGACAAGTGCAATGTAAGTGCAACTCCACTGCTTAGCTAATTTCTTTTTTTACATTTCTGTAGCTGTCACCTCTATTGGATAACTTTCTTTTACTGTAAATCAGCGCACCCACAGGTTTAACGAGTAGGCGCTGGCCCCGGAACCACCATCATTGCCAAAATCTCTCTCAAGACCACCCCCGAAGTTAGCGCTGTTAGCTTCTGTTACCCCAATCCCGTGATCAGCACGTGAACAACCAGATCCGCCACCACCAATCATCATTACAGCTCCATCACCAGCACTATAGTCGCACCAGAACCCGATATAATTAGCACCTTGGATGCTCCCAGAGCAAGTTGTCGTCTTAAAACCAGAAGTTGTTTGGTATTGTCCGCCGTATTGGACCGCACATTTTCCGAGACATTTGTTGCTTGCCCAAACTTTGCTGTTCCTGAAGTTACCATAGCTTCTTATCTTAGATCTGAATGTCTGTCCGCCCAAACAGTTACTTGTGGTCTTCAACAAAGCGGTCTGAGGGTCATCACTGCGCGTAATCATGAAATGAGTGCCGGTGACAAGCCAGAATGCTGGAGAGATCATGTCAGTGTTGCTTGAGGGGACAGTTGTATCTCCATAAGCAGCAATTTTATCGTACCACCATTCTCCAGTATTTTTCATCCAGTTTCTGGAGTCAGCGTTAGAGAACCGAGCCATGAGGGTCCAGCCCTCTCCATTAGCAGTCATGTCACAATACACCTGAAGGAAAAATTTGAGCCTTGACTGAGTTTGGCGGTCATACGCCATTGTAGAAACAAGAAGGGGACTGGAACACCGCAATTCTTTCTTGGCGCGTTACTGGGGACGCGCCAGTCAGCTACTGGACAGCTTTAGATTCTGAGACGAGGACGACTACGAGTACAAGATTTTCTCAGCACTAAATAGTGCTCTTGCATGAGCCAGCGTCATTTTGGCTGGAAAACGTGATAGCTGTCGTCATTCTACTACGCGTTTTCGCGAAAATGTCGTAGTTACGGGAACAAGTTATCAAATTTGAGAATTTTAATCATTTTTCGACCCGGGAAGGGCTAAACCTCCTGTAATAAAAATAACCACACTGATTGTTCCGTTGAAAAATTGCACAATGAGGCTTCTCGGGTTAAATATTGGTCAGTATTATGCGGGAATACGCGAAAAAACTTTAAGTTAAATCTCGTACTCGCAGGTGTCCTCGTCCTCAAATCTAAAGCTCTCTTATATTGGCAAAAGCACAGAGGCAAACCATTGAGGATAACTCAACATTATTAACCACAAAGGACTGCAAACGAATATACAGCATATTCGTTTTCGGTCCTTTGCAGTTAAAGTGTAGTTGCTGCTTATTGATTTTCTGGGGACCGTAGATCTTTTTTATACAGGGACACCCAAAGACGGTTTCCTCCTAAATATATTGAAAACACTTTTTAGACTATTCAGAGTACTCTTAGATCTCTAGAAATGCATTCTAGGAGGCGCTATATATTGGTACCTGTTCGGTCATCCTAGGCTGGGAACTTGAGTCTTATCGACTGAAGTTAATGGCAATGGCTTCAGTATTATTTTCCCGAAAATTTCAGGAAAATTTAAAATTCAATTTAACGTGTATTACGAAAATGAGAACTTTTCTAATTCTTCCCTCCATCATATCTTTTAATCCGAAAATTTTACCTTTCCATTGTTTGTACGAATAATAGCCTAACCTGAGGAGTGAAATGTAAAACATTAAAAAGGAAATCGTAGCGATTTTTCCGCACAGATATATTACAGAAAACAGTTGTTGGGTTCCCCTGTTTATAGATCCGATATGCTATACATCTTAGCATGGTTTTGTCCACGTTTTTCAGGGAAAGGTTGGTTTAGTCATCCTATATGTCTTCTTTGCGAGACACTAACTCAACTCTTGCCCTCCCAGAGGTGTGATTTGGCGTAATTTTGGCGAGTGTGACGGTCCAATGTTAGGGTGAGTGTGCGGAAATTTTCTCAATA